TTCATTTAAGAAAAAAAAAATCTGTCAGCCTACTGAATTTATACAGATTACAATGCACAACCACACATAATCAAGCATAATCAAAAATGTTTCTAGTAAGTGGAAGTGAATACATTATTTTAAGAATTTATACAACTCTTACAAAAGGAAAAAAATGATGGATTAAACAACTATTTAGGGCCATGGTGACTTTTTCTTGGAGACAGTCCTAAAATATGCCTGCCTCTAAACTGGCTGATTTTTCTTTACATCTAATCAGCGACTTAATGCTACATCAAGCTACAACCCTGGCTGGTGTGGCTCAGTGGACTGAGCACTGGCTTGCAAAAGCAAAGGGTCGCTGGTATGATTCCCAGTCAGGGCACCTGCCTGGGTTGCAGGCCAGGTTACCAGTAGGGGGCATGTGAGAAGCAACCACACATTGATGTTTCTCTCCCTCTCTCCCTCCCTTCCCCTCTAAAAATAAATAAATAAAATCTTTAAAAAAAAAATCAAGCTACAAAATTTTTCAATAGGTGGTGATAAAGATACTGTTTCATTAACAAAAATTGGCAATCGTATATATCAAAGTGAGAAAAAACTTAGGGGGTTATGTTTTTGTTTTTCTCATCTTAGAGTCAGTAGGGGATTCTGACCCATCTTCATCAATGGCGTCCCAAGCAATTACTAGAAGCATTAGTGCACCCACCGTCCTTCCACAGGCACCTCGCATTTTCAGTCTCTTTCTCTACCACAACTTTCCCTTTTATGGGCACTTATACAGGTACGACTTGGCCTTCCTGTGGTACTCAAGGATTTTAAAAAAATCTTCCCTGACTTGTGGCAAAGTAACAAACACATTATTATTATTTCTATTATTATTATTATCATCAAAGATCTAATTGGCTTTATTAAGTGATTTATGAATTGTGCCTCATCCTATTTAGCAACTAAAGGGGCGCTCCCTATTATTAATTGGAAAAGATCCACCACCAACAACTGCTTTTCCCTAAAATATAAAGTAGAAATTTTTTTTTAAACCTCACAATCTTATTCAATTAATGAAAAGTTACTCTTTAACAGACAGGTCTGCTTTTATCAATCACCACCATCATTATCAGTGTCTTCATTATGGTGCTAAACACGTCACATTTCCAACTCCACGGTAAATGCATTATTTAATTTAATCATTGCAATAATCCTATGAAGTCAGTTTTTCCCAGTATGACAAATAAAGAAAAGGTGAAGCACAGAGGATTAAGCAATTTGCCCAAGGACATATTACAAATAAATGGCAAAGCTAAGATTGAGCCAAGAAGTGTTTGACTCTTAGCTCCTTGGCTAGAGTGTTACTTTCCTAATGTTCTTGAGGTTTTATAGCTTTGATTTAAGAGGTCTGTTATTAATTCATTCAATAAATATCTGAATTTTACTGAACAACTGTCATTGTGGTAGACAATAGGATAAAAATAAAATTTAGGACAGACTGACATAAAATTACAAAAGCACTAGTAACAGCTGAATATAATTAACACAGTCATAAATGCTACTTATAAATCAATCTGAATTTGACTGCTAAAAAAGATTTCTGGGAGATTTCAATGCTAAAAAGTAGCGTTGAGTACAGCTACTTTTGTATGACAGATTTTCATTACTTGTTCGCCTCCCCTCTGTGTTTCCACAAAGGCCCAGGGGCTCTGCCATGTTTTCAGTTAACAACTTTTTATATAACAACAGTATTGCATTTCTGCGAAGAATAAAAAAATGCTCCAAGGTGAAACTTCTAGACTACACAAAAGTTAGATTTATTATTACAACACTAGAAAAAAGCATGCCTTATCAACAACAAAGGTCACCTGAGAAGAGTACTGGAAACTACGCTGATACTTAAAGACAAATTGGCAATTCGTTGCTTCCCTTGTTAATGGAATTTAATCAAAGGTGTCTCAAAGACCCGTGTGAGCTTTTAGTATCCATGAGAGAGAAAAAAGGTCAGAGTGCCCAGACTAAGTAACTGCCTAGGTAATCTCTTCGTTAACCACTCTCAATCCCCATCATTGCACAACAAAGCCAGCAGAAAGGTCATGCAGGGTGAAACTAAGGCTTCCTTAAATAATCCAAAACTCAGGGTCTGGACTGGGAGATCCCTTAAGAGCCCAGCAAGAAGCATAAATATTCCTACACAGAGAAACTTTCCACAGGCTGCTTCTACTGCTGATTTCAGAGAGCTGCCTGGCGTTAGTTCACTGCGACCAACATGTTTAACCAACTGGCCTGAACTTCCATGTCAACTTTTCTTGTACAATAAGGCAATACAAGAGAGTCTAACAGCATGAAAATGCTGATAACCACAGGTTTATAAATAAGCCAACCCAAGGCACTTTATTTTAAAAACACTTCTATAAAAGCTGATTTATTTCCTACCCATTTCATTCTTAAGAAGTAATTATCAAGAAAGAAATGTACTTCTGGATTTCTAGTCAAGATGGAGGCATAAATAGATACTCTTCACCTCCTTGCACTATCATAAGAAGGATCACAATTAACCTCAAAACAAAAAACACCCAGAACTGCCAGAATATCGAACTGTACGTGGTCTGACAACCAAGGATTTAAAGAAGCCATATTCGTACGGAGACGGGGAGCCAGGGCAGAGAAGTTGTGGTGTGGCTGCAGCAATACAGGAGCAGCAGCGGCCAGTGGCCCAGCAGTCCCACAGTCACATGTGGTAGATAAAAATCGGGAGAGATACCCAGGGAGTCAGTGATCCCAGCCTCAGGCCAGACTGCGCAGCCCAGGGTTCCAGCGTCAGGAAAATAAAGCCTCATAACTTCTGGCTGTAAAAACCAGTGGGGGTTGGGGTGGCACAAGAAACTGCCAGTCTGTCTAAAGCACTTGCTCGGTCCTAGGACAAATGCAAACTCACCCACTCTGGGAACCACCACAAGGGCAACAGCTAGATGGGTGTCAGTCTCAAACGGGAAGTAAGTGAATGACTAGAAACAGCGTGAGTACCAAGTAGGCCTCCAGCAGCCAGGCAGTGGCACTGTCCCCACTCTGGCGCCTCTCCCACATACAGAGCAACAAAGCAATGAAGCAGGTTGCCCCGCCCTGGCAATTATCTGAGACTCTGCCCCATACAATGTAACAGGTGTGCCTAGACAGGGAGTCAAAGCAGTTCTACACAATACACAGAAACAAAAACAGGGAGGTTGCTAAATTGAGGAAACAAATAAATATGGCCCAAATCAAAGAATAGAACAAAACCCCAGAAAAAGAACTAAAATGGAGATGGCCAACCTATCAGATGCAAAACTCAAAACACTGGCGATAAGGGTGCTTAGAGAACTCACTGAGTACGGCAAAAACGTAAGGGAAGAAATGAAGGCTACACTAAGTGAAATAAAGAAAAATCCACAGGGAACCAACCATAAAGGGAAGGAACCTGGGGTTCAAATCAACAACTTGGAACACAGGGAAGAAATAAACCATCAAGCAGAAAAGAAAGAAGAAACAACAACTCAAAAATGAGGAGAGAATAAGAAGACTCTGGGACATCTCCTAAAGGGGCAACATCTGAATCATAGGGATGCCAGAAGAAGGGGAAGAGCAAGAAATTGAAAACTTGTTTGAAAAAATAATGAGGGAAAACTCCTCTAATTTGGCAAAGGAAATAGACATACAAATCAGGAAGCACAGAGAGTCCCAAATAAGTTGGACCCAAAGAGGAGCACACCAAGACATATCATGATTAAAATGCCAAAGGTTAAATAAAGATAAAGAGTGAATCTTAAAAGCAGCAATAGAGAAGGAGGGAGTTACCTCTAAAGGAGTACCCATAAAACTATCAGCTGATTTCTCAAAAGATGCCTTGCAGACAAGAAGGGATTGGCAAGAAGCATTCAAAGTCATGAAAAGCAAGGACCTACAACCAAGATTACTCTATCCAGCAAAGCTATCATTTAGAATGGAAGGGCAGATAAAGTGCTTCCCAGACAAAGTAAAGCTAAAGGAGTTCATCATCCCCAAGCCTTCATTGCATGATATGTTAAAGGGACTTATCTAAGAAAAAGAAGATCAAACCTATGAACACTAAAATGACAACAGGCTCACAACTATCAACAACTGAATCTAAAAAACAAAAATAAAAACAAAAACAAACTAAGCAAACAGCCAGAAGAGGAACAGAATCATATATATGGAGATCATTTGGAGAGTTATCAGTGGGAAGGGGGAAGGGGGTAAATGGGGAAAAAGATACAGGGATTAAGAAGCATAATTGGTAGGTACAAAATAGTCAGGGGGGTAAGAATAGTATAGAGAATAGAGAAGCCAAAGAACTTATATGCACGACCCATGGACATGAACTAAGTGGGAGGGGAATTGCTGGAGGGAAGAGGGGTAGTGGGCAGAGCAGGGCAAAGGGGGAAAACTTTGGACAACTTTAATAGCGTAATCAATAAAATATACTTTAAAAAAGAAATAAATGTACTTCTTATTTAGAAGTGAGGCAAGTGAAAGGATTTATTATATGCACTGCTTGTTTTAGCCCCAACCAAAATTTCTAGAAGAATATTCCAAGAACTTGGTATCTATTGGGGAAGAGAAAGACCAGAAATTTACAACTTTAATCATATGATAACAGAATAAACAGGTAGTTTTTTCAAGAAAGTTAATATTTTTACTTTTTTCTAATTTGTTAAAAATGGTAATGAGTTTCTATTAGAGACATCAAAGTAAGCACAAAAAACCATAGCTGCATTTTGTATTCTACCACTTCCTGTTTTGCCCTTCATAACCTAGACTGATACAAATTATTTTGCAATTTAAGTATTTTTGTTTGAAACACTGGCACCAACATCAACATTTTAAATTTTAGTTTCTGCTACATTCCAGAACCTAACTTAATCTTTTAACTAAATCTTTAAACTTCACATTATACATGGAACTGATTTTGTGGCAAAGGGTGAATAAAACTGATGCCCTGGTTTAAAATATCTTAAAAACAATGTTAAAAGTACCTTTTAATAGGGACACTTTAGCAAGTGGTTCATTTAGGTCTTGCTCATCCATTTGGGCATCTACAGGGGAGAAAAAGATAATTACAAATAATAATTGACTCTAACAGCAAGCTTTCACTATCAAAATAAAAAAATGAAATTTCTACTCCTATTCTATATGAATAGTTGAAATTTATACAGCTATTAGAATAGTTTTATCAATATATCCAAGATTCAAAAGAATGACTAAATAAATGGAAGCATTGCTTTTACTTCAAACACAAACTTTGAAATCTCCACCCACATTAACCTGCATATCTAAACTGCTTGGTAACAGTAACATGTGCAGATTAGTAAACATCAGGTTACAGCTCACCTGTAGTGTCGTCACTGCTTTTTTCCTTACTTGGACTCAGAGTATCTGATAAATCAGAATCCTTTGCTCTTGCCTGGTTTTCTACCAAGAAAAAAATGAAAGTAGAATTTCATTATAATTAAATAGCATCTATCAATAAGAGCTTCAGGCTACACTTGCTCTAAATCTACTGCAAAATACTTTTAAAATTAACTGAGGTCACTGAATCTCTTACTTCTTTACCACTCTAGTCCAAAATGGAATGCTGATTATCACACGTAGCTCATATTAAATTATAATGTGGATCATGTCTGCTGTGCAGAGGGCTGGGGCTTTTGTTCAAGGCTGTCCACTGGCTAACTGGAAGCAAAAATGAAGCAAGCTTTGCAAAAGTATCCAGAGAACTGCAACAAATATAGCAAAATTCCCAGGACAATGTGGACATTGTATGAAGATGAGACAAAATGGCTTTATTATATAAAAACACTAGTTAGGTTGTCTTAGAAATAGTTATAACAAAACTTAAATAAAATCATAATTATTTGTTATAAAAATAATATTTAAAACAATAAAATTAACAACCTTTTATACTGAAAGAAAATATAACTGTACCTGAACCACACTGGATAAAAAAAACAACTTAAAAAAAGTTTTGTATTTGCAAGTAGTGTGCTGCCTGATCCAATGAAGACATTGTAGGATTTTCTCTCAAAAATCCTAACTGTAACTCCAACAATTAATTAAAGATAAATGGCAATTAATTAGACCCTAGATTCTCACCTGAAAGGCACATCTGTGTATACTATGGTATGCATTTGGACAGAAGTGATTATTTCTCTGTAATAACTACATTGGACAACTAGATATAATCTGGTCCCTGCATTAATTCCCCCATGAGCTCTGTTTCAGTCAAGCCAGCCTCTTTACCAGGCCAGAGCACGTTAGCTAATTATGACCTGCAATTCTTTGCCTAAGTTGAATTTCCCTAAACCTAACGACCATTCTCTCTACTTGGCCTGTTCATTCTCTAAGATACAGCTTAAGCCCCCGCCACCCCCAGGGAACTCTTCGTATCTCCAGCACACGGCACCTTTTACTGCTTCTTCTCTGTGTCATGTTTTTGAAATTAATCATGTTTTATTTCATATCATTCTGTGTTTGTATGTATATATATCTTATTTTCTTAGTGAGTTATAAATTCACCAAGCATATGATTATTTTTATAATGTTATACACTTGATTGTACTGTTTGTGGTGATATGTATGAAAACTTAAACGTACATACCCATTTCCTAGTACTTTTTCCAAGGAAATAATGGTCTACATATAGTATCTATAAAAATGTTCACAGCAGTATTCATTATGAAATGGAAAATATTCAAAATACATTGAGTACTATTAGGTAAAAATAAAGTCTGTTAAAGAACAGTAAGTATAGTATGACCCCGTTTAGACTGAATATAGCTATACATTTATCTATGAAGTTTTGTTATACATATTTATTCAAATGTAGAAAGATCTGCAACAGATAGACCAATGGTTACCTCTGGAAATGGGGACACAGTGGGCATTTACTTTCCAACTTCACATAGCTTAAATTGTTTGAAAAATTATAGTGAATACTGTTTTATAAACAACTAAATCAAGACATTTTCCATTCTGAAAGCAACCAGAAACCTATTTAAAATCATCAGTCAAAATACTCATACAATATTAAAATATAACTTGTTATGGCTATTCCATATGAGAACACCCCTAGAATTTGTGGCTTAACTTGTGAAATGGGTAATGGATTACAAAAAGCCTTCGCTGTTTTTCTCACTGCCATTTCTAGTCAAAGGTCAAATGCTAAGAGACAAGGAAATTAGATTAGAAGTAAAGTCACTGACCATGGAAGCCCCCGGACACCCAATCTGTCCTGGTGCATTCATAGGGTGCTATAATCAGACATTTACAAATGCCCTAGTTTTGAACACAAAGTTATAATCTCAAATAAGACCAATACATCTAATATACCACCCTAGGAGGGCAGAAAGGAAAAGAGGAAAATGATTCTTCTGATTTTTATATTCTTGGCAATTTTTTGATCAAGATAATTGAGGTAAAACCAAGGGGGATATATTTCAAAAGTAATCCTCTGGCTTAGAAGAAATTTTTATTTTATATTTAGAGTATTAGCCAGGAAGATAAAATTGCCTTAAAAGCTGGATCAAATCTTTCATTAAGGTCTTACTAGAATCAAAGTTCCACAAACGTAGGGATTTTTGTCTGTTTTGTTAACTGCTATATAACCACACCCTGCCCACCCCACCCCCCGCCCCCACCCCACCTCCAACCATTGCATAGAACAGTGCACAGTCCATATTTGGTGCTTCGAAAAAAAAAGAAAAAGAAAAAGAAAAAAGGATGACTGAAGGCACAAATCTACTGTTAAGTAAAAAAGCAAGGTTTTAGCTAGTCAACACATGGTCCATCATATTTATGTCCTGATATTACAGTCATTATATGGAGGCAAACCAAATCTATTTAAGAATGAAGCGCAGGACACAACAAATGACTGATAAAGTATTTATTTCTTTTCAAAACCCCTATTATTCAGCTATGTAGCAGCACCCAGTTCTCTGGTATAAAAAACATTTCTGGTTTATTTTCTCTGTAGTATTTAATCATTAAGATACATTCCAATAGTACAGAGAGGGAAATGGGAGAATAACTACCAACATCAATACCGAAACTATTCCCAAACTGGGAAGTCTACTACAAGGTGACTATTTTCACTGTATCTTTGAGTAGACAAAATGATGGATGGGCAAAACAAACATGCAGGGCCACAGACCACTTCGTATACGACTAGAACCAGTGTTTTGGAAAGAGAGCAAGAGTAAAGATCAAGAAGAAAAAGGAGAATGAACATTTACGTGAACACCAAAATGGTGTTTTCTGCTTTATAAGCATTATTTCATTAAATTCCCACAAAACCCTACAAGTTAAATGTCACTCTCATTTCACAAACGAGGAAACTGAAGTTTAAAGAGCTAAAGTAAGTTGCCTGATGGTGTATAGCTAATGATAGAACTTGAAGCTGATTCTAGCTGTCTCATCTACTCATATTCTTATTACTTTCACCCCTAAAACAATTGTAAATGTACAATAACTGCAAGTTGAGTAAGGACTTAAGTAGAAAGCATCTGCAACCTATGATTACAGTACCTGAAGAAAACACTAAGATTGTACAGCTGATATCTTGTAATTTATAGCAACTAACACTTTCAATGCAGAAAAGAAAATTCCCCTCAAAACATCACCAGTAAAATAAAAATAAGACAACTGAGCCAGATCCAAAAGAAAACATATTACAGCCAGATATAAAATATTTCAAAATAACTTATTTCAGCCATCTAGTTTGTTACAGGTATTACCTCTGCATGTTAACTGTGAGAAGTACTAGTAAAATGTTGTTTGCTGACAGAAAAATCTCTGGGTATATAAAACTTGTATCTGGGCCTGGCCGGGTAGCTCAGCTGGTTAGAGCGGTATCCTGATAAGCCAACATGGCAGGTTCAATCCCCAGTGAGGGCACATACAAGAATCAACCAATGAATGCACAGATAAGTGGAAGAACAAATCTCTCTCTCAAGTCAATTAAAAAAAACCACTTGTATTTGTATTATTATTCTTAAAGAGTGTATTCTATTCTCTTGTATGGACTTACTTGCTATAATTTATTTAATAAACACCTTTATGTTTTTCTATTTTTGCTTTTAAAACAACGCTGAAACAAATAACCTTGCATATTTGTTCAATTTCTTCCTTAAGATAAAAACTCAGAAGTGGGATTGCTGGATCTAAAAGCATGCTCTTTAAAACTTTCAATACATATTTTACAGCCAGGTTTCAAAAGGAAATCAGTTAAGATTGCTCAAAACTTTTCAAAAAATGACATCACATAATTCTGAGCAAATGTGTCTAAATCAGAATGCATTAAAAAGAAGCATCAAGATACTTTTCTTTTAATTAAAGAGGTGTTGATTTTTCTTTTCTCTAAGGCTCTACTTGCACTTCAAAGTGTTGGCTATTCAACCAACTAATCTGAACAGGTATTTACGTGGTGAAGTAAAAGCTATTTTAAAGTTTGTTCTCATCTCACTTTAATAAGATGAAATAAATTGCCTATGTTCTAAAAATAGTTCGCTGTTCTGAAACTCAATGCCTGTTTGCCAGAACAATATTAGTGATGCATATTCTATGCATTCTTTCCCCAAATATGGCATCTGCCATACACAAAATTCAGAAAGGAAGCCACCAGATATTTGAAATAACACTATCCTTTTAAATATTTTTTAAAAGCCAAATAGATTAAATTACTTCCATTAAATTTCCATTAAATAGAATATACTGACATTCAGCATTTCAAACTTTTATCACTCATTGTTTTAATTAACCAATATGAGAATCTAACTTTAGATTTCATGCTGGCATGTTCTGATAAAAGTCCTAGAATAAGAAGAAGCATATCCCATCAAATTTGCCCTATTTCCCTATGCATAAAAGTGACTTGATAATAAGATGCTTTAAAACTCACTTTTCTTCTCTAAGCCTGACAATTGTAACAGAAAAGAATTAGCAGAATAAACTACTTCAGGCAAACTAATAGGACTGTTCATTTTAAAATGTAAGAAGATTCTACACGTTCACTTTTGCTTAAATCAAGTTGAGATGCCAAAAATGAAGAAAATATTATCAAAAGAAATGATAAAGGTCCAATAGTGCCCCAAATATTACTGCAAACATTTTTAACCTGTTTTTTTCCCTAGTAAGATTTACATTCTGTTTGAATAAAAACTTGAGATAAAAGCTGAAAATAACGCTGGAAGTGAGAGAGAACACGACAAATCTCTAATACCTAAAGAAACCTGTTCTAAGCATTTAAACACACACACACACACACACCCTTTAAAAAGAAACTTTCTGATTAAGATATCCTTCTTAAAACAGAACTTCAACTATTTTATATTATTACATGATACTATTACAGGACTGTCATTTTGTGAGTTTTAAGAAAGAAAGTGATTGTTAAAATACTATGACCTTGAAAATGTACACTAACCTTCATTATCCAAGAGTTGTTAAACCCACAGAAAAATCCCACAGAAAACAAACCTTTTGAAAGCTTTGTTTCTTCAACCACTTTGTTTAGATGCCCCTCGACGATCAGCTTCTCTGCCAAAGAAAATAAACGTTACTATCCAAGTCCAAACTGAGTAGCATTTCCCTGAGCGGGGCAGTGTAACACATTCCATGACCAAATTTAAAGATGATAACATTACTCCCATGACTAGGCTTGAACAAAAACTAGACCCCGGAGGGGAAACGAAAAGAACTCTAACTATAAGAGAGCAGATTAAAACAGAAATCTGGGGGTAGGGGAACATTTGCCTTTTATTTTTATTAGTTTTCACCTTATTTTAAAGCCTAACACTTTTTTTAAAAAGTCAGAACAAAGCAACCCTCTCTAAATCAAGGATATTAAGTTAAAATAAAGAAATTATAAGATATTTTATCTAAATAAAGAAGTAATTCAAATTACTATATATCAATAGTTTACTTTTCCTTATTCATACAATTCAGCAGAGATATCTATACAACATTTTTCAGTAAAGTGAAATCATTTTAGAACAGCTAATTAAAGAAATAAACATTTTTTGTTTTGTTTTATGGGGAATTCTCTATAAATGTGTAAGGTAACTTCTTTATAATTTATTTGTCATATTTTCTTTTTTAAAAAAGATTTTATTTCTTTTTAGAGGGGAAGGGAGGGAGAAAAAAAAAAAGGAGAAAAACAGCGATGTGTGAGAGAAACAGCGATCTGTTGCCTCTTGCATGCCCCAAACTGGGGAGCTGGCCTGCAACCCAGGTATGTGCCCTGACCCAGAATCAAACCATGTCAGTCTGCAGATAACACCGAACTGAGCCACACCAGTTCGCAGATTTCTATATTCTTTTTTTCACTGAGGAAGATAATATATCTATCCTGTATATCCCCTTATTTAAACTTGTATGTCAGCTGATTTCCTTTAACTCATACTTTTGCAGTATGTGATATAATTCCTCTATTCTTACACTCTTCAACACATTGCAACTTGGACTATGCCTACAATTCAACAATAAAAACCGCTCCAAGATCACTATAACCTCCTATCTCACAAAACCCATGGCTCCCTTGCAAAATTTTATTTTATATAGTCTCTTTGCAGTATGTGGCACTGTTTGCCCTGGACTCCTTTAAAAAAAGGCCAAAGTAATAGATTTAGATAATTTTATAAGGCATTAGTCCTATAAGATGGATAACGTAAGCTGTCCTACACCACTCCATTCCTGAAATTCACTTCCTAGAAACAAAAACCTCTAACTTTTAGCCATTTGTTCTGGTGTTTACATTTATATTTCTAAATAATTTATGAGGGGGGACCTCCCAAAAACTGGAATTATCTTCTGGAGTGTGGGCCCTTTGTAGTACAGGCTTCTTCCACTAGATGAGTGTTCTAGGAATCCATCTGTATCAGTGTACTAGCTGCTGTTGTTGTGAGAGGGTGTTTGGCTTCAGTGAATTATTTTTGAAGATTCTTTCAATGTGTTTGCCCATTTCATGATCGGTGATTTAAAAGCGCACCTGCCCACGCTGTGTTGAGTGTTCAGCAGGTTTTGACCCCAAACAGCATGACCCTCATGCCCCACCCTCCCTATTCACCTGATCTCATCCCGAGAGGCATTTTTTGTCTCCCTGGATGAAAAAGGTCCTCTCTGGGAAAAATTTTGCCTATGAACGAGGTTAAATTGTTTTGAGCAATGGAAAAAGCCTTGAGATAGGTGTATTACATCAAATGGAGAGTACTTTGAAGGTGACTGAAATTTAAACATGTGAAAATAAAGACACAATTTTTTAATAAATAAATTCCAGATTTTTTGGGTCCCCACTTATATTGTGATCTATTTTTCCATTTTAGACATTATTTCTTGACAATATCTTATAGATGATTAAGCTTTCTTATATCCTACTATCATCCTTGTAAGAGTTACACTTTGTCCATCTGTAATCAGTATTTATACAGGGTGGGGCAAATGTAGGTTTACATGTATGAACATACAAAACAGTTTATTCTTGTATTGTTATTTATTAATTATTGTATTATTTTCCTCACAAACAACTGTAAACCTACCTTTGTCCCACCTTGTATTATTACTATTATCTGTATCTGTCACATAATATTCTATGGCTATATTTCTCTTATTATATAACCATTTAGTATTTTTGGAGCTTATAATTCCTTGTTTTATTTTGCTAGTTTTTTATATATCTATCTCAAACACAGCCTATGTTCTTACAGAACCATAAAACTTTCGACATTGTCAAACATAGCAGGCCATCTATCACACTGTAGTTCCTTGTTCCTCCACCCCTTTAATCTTCCTGCTCCAGTCTGAGCTGAATCCTATGCAAAATACCCTGCTCTCAGATTCCAAATCTTCCTCTTCTAGCTTTATTCTCTTGTTTTAGTTTAGTATGTCCTCGGATAATTTCCTGAAAAAGGTAGGTAGAAGGTAAATTCTTTGTTATTTTGTTCCTCTGAAAATGTTATTTTCTACCTCACAATTGACGGATAGTTTGACCACATACAAAATTTCTACAGGAAATAATTTTCCTTCAGAATTTCGAAAGTTTTGTTTCACTGTCTTCTAGGTTCAAACTAGGTGAGTTTAATACTGGTGAGTTCAACCAGTATGCATAGTAGAGACTTTTTGTGCTTAGTAATGCCTGGTTTGCTTGTTTCTTCTGGGCATCTGGGAGGACTGCATGTTCCAAATCCCTAGCACTGAGGAAGGTCCATGTAAGTGGTTCTAACCAAGGCTAAAGCATTTGAGAGTAGAGTTTTCTATACTTTTCTCTTCCCCAAATCAAGAAACTACATGTTGAGATGACAACATCATAAAATGATAAAGCATACATTAGCCTAAATCCCTGAGTAACAATTTGGAGCAGAGTGTTCTTCTTCACCATAGACATGTAACATGAGTGAAAAATAAATGTTTATTCAATTAAGCCATTACAATTCCAGGGTTTCTTTACTGCTATATTATAGAGTGGTTTATTATGAGTAATATAACATGAAATCCTTTGTTTCTCTTGGCTGTTTTCAGAATCTTTTTATGCCTGGTGTTCTTAAATTTCATTAACCTCAGTATATGTTGGTTTTTTTTTAACTGAGATAAAACACGTATAATAACATATAATAATCTTTTAAAGTGGGTAATTCAATGGCATTTAGTACAATGGCAATTTTATGCAACCACCACTTCCATCTAGTTCTAAAACATTTTTATCATCCCAAAAGGAAAACGATATATTCATTGAGATGTATTTCCCATCCGCCCTCCAGAGCTCTAGCCGTCACTCATATGCTTTCTGTCTCTATGAATTCCTATTCTGGATATTTCATAAATAAAATTATACACTATGTAACTTTTTGTGTCTGGCTTTGTGTGTGATTTTTTAAAATACATTGTGTTGAGCATTCAGTGCATCCTTTCAGTTTAGAAGCTCAGAGCTCCAATTCTGAGGAATTCTCTTTCATTAATAAATCTTTCTCTTTTCTCTCTCTTTCCCTTCTCTCTCCTTTACCACACTCTGGAAATATTATTCAGATGTTAGATCTCCAGGGTTAATTCTCTAATTTTCTTAAAATTTCCCCCCTTTTTTTCTTAAAACAAACAAAAACCTTGTCTTTTAAACTATTTTATGTATTATTTCTGCTTTCTCTTCTAACCCTTCTACAGATTTAACTTTCAAAATACATCTGGTGTCATATTTTTAGTTTTCAAGAATTCTCCTTGTACTCCGTTTCTTTTAAAAAACAGCATCTTTTTCTGGTTTCATCCATGAACTATCTTATCTTTCTGAAGAAATTAGTTAAACATTTTTCAAAAGTTTTATTCTGCTTCCTGTTTTTTTGTTTGTTTCTTCCTCAGTCACAATTTGTTTCCCTTTATTTGTTTTAATCTCTATCTTTTTCAGCAGAAAATTTCCTCACAGTAGTGATCTTGGCCATCTCATCATATTTAGGGTGAGGCAATAAAAAGCTGACAAAGTTCTATGTGCATGAGCAGGGTTTGTTACCTGCTGGGTGGCAGTTTGTTATGGAGAGACCTTCAACTGTCAGTATCAGTGTTTTGTCTTGGTCTGATCAAGTACATAGAGTAGACTCCCCTAACCTCCTTTTCGGGGAGTGTAAACCTGATGACCAGCACTCTGATTCAATATACAGGCTTTCATTTAATTGTCCCACTTTTTTCTTTTCAGTAAGATGCTCATATACCACTCTCAGCCATGTTTACAGACTCTCCATTTCAGACTTCAGAGAGATAAACTTCAGTCTGTACGTGGAAGGAAGGAGCCACTTGTCTGTCTGCATGGACCAGGGATAGAAATATGTATCATCTTGCACTCCAGGCCTAACGAGTACGAAGTACCTCTGATACATCAGCCACAGTTTTAACTTCCTTTTTTGGGGTTCCTTAACCTCCTCCCCACTTGTAGGCCCTTAAAAAAGAAAGAATGAAACCCAAATCTCTTACCACTCAATTATCTGCTTTACTTACATCTTCTAAAACTTTGTTGACATCTATTACCTGTTGTAGTCTCCATTCCCATTTTCTTTGTCTTTGTGATCTTACATCTTTTATAATCTTTTACTATGAATGGGTCCATATTTAATCAAAAATTGACTGCCTCCCTTTTAAAACTCTTTTCCTTTGACCTCTAGGATACCACCTATTCCTACTTCTTTTATGTGCTTGCTCATTCCTTCCATCTCAGCCTTTCATTGGTTTTCCTTTCTTCTGATTGTGATCTAAATACATGTTAGTCTTCAAGATCTCTGTCAACAACAATAAAAATTATTTTTAAATGACATCAACTATCTGATACACTTCTCTCTCCTCTTCTCTTTCCATTCACATCTCCATTATGCTATTGCAACTGTTTTTGTCTGCTCTTCCTAACATACTATGAACTTCTAAGGTGTCTTCAAATATTTACTATGCACTAGGTACAATACTAGGTATTTCTCATAGATTATCAAGAGAAATGTGATAAATCTAGAAATTTAGAGTCTAGTGAAAGCAGAGAGGTATTCTAGTAACAATTTAATTCCTAATAAAATTCT